GTGAGAACAGGCCTAGACTAAGCAACATTTAGAGAAACTGAGAAAGGTCTTGCTTATGTGTTTCCCCCAATTCTTCATTTTGACAATATTCAAATGTATAGAAAAGTTGAAAGAGTAGTATAGTGGATACTTATTATTAACCTATTGCTATATTTACCAGTCCTTCTGTTTTATTAAAACAATTGAAAATAAGTACAGATGTCATGAATTTCTCCAGCCTGGAAGGTAAGAATAAAGTGTCCCAAGATAAGACTCTTTCTTACACAACTACAGTATCATTATCATACCGTAGACAATTAACAATAATTTCCTAATAATATCTAATAAGCAATCCATGATCTATGTTCAGCTGTTCCCAGTTGTTTCTAACATGTCTTTTTGGCTTAGAAAAAAAAGTATAGAATCTCATCAAGGTTCATGAATTTGCTGTTATGTTTCGCTTGTCTTTTAAATTTAGAACATTTTCTGTTTTTTGGGTATGTATATTTCTTGACACTGACGTTTATGAAGAGTCCAGGATAGTTATTTTATCGAATGCCCCACAATCTAGATTGTCTAATTATTCTTTTCTTTTTAAAATTTTAAATATTTTATTTATTTATTTAAGAGAGAAAAAGAGTGTGAGTGGGGGAGGAACAGAGAGGGAAGGGGAAAGAATTTCCAGCAGGCTCTGCGCTGAGTGGAGCCATCTCAGCACTGGGCTCCATCTCATGACCCTGAGACCGTGACCTGAGCCTCAACCAAGAGTCAGATGCTTAACTGACTGAGCCACCCAGGCACCCCTGCCTAATTGTTTCTTTACGTGCTTTTTAGTTTTTAACCTTTTGGAAATATATTTACAGACGTGTGCATAAAATATAGATAGGAAGGTTTGTGGAAGTTACCTTTCCAGTCTCTGGGATCCTAAAAGTCTGGCTCTTTTATAAACCCTTATCTCTGCACTTGTTTCTCCATTGCAGTTAGAGAATGTCTAGTGCAGAGACAATTTCCTGGCACTTTCCTGCAGATCAGGGTACTAAGGCTGGGCGGCTTCCAATTTAGGCAGTTCCATTGTATTTATCTCAGATCCCCCACCGGGGTTTCAATTAGAGAAGTTATTGTTTAGTTCCCCTTCTAAAAATGTTGCATTCTCTAATTATCTTGGCTTTAAGGCATTTGGGTTGTTTTTATACTATGTGAATGCACTGGCTATTAGGAAAGTCACTTTAAAATTTGGGTGATCTAATTCAATTGTTAAAACTGCCTTAATAATTAGGTTGTAGTAAGACACAATACAGTGTATACAGGTTCCTCACAACCTGGTGTTTTGGGCTGTAGAGACCCAGCATCGATCCAGAGGTGGTTCAGAGTTCTTTATTAAAAAAAAAAGAAAAGGCCAAATGTTAAAAATATTATGACCTGGGACGCCTGGATGGTTCAGTAGGTTAAAGTCTCTGCCTTCAGCTCAGGTCATGATCCCAGGGTGCTGGGATTGAGCCCCATATCAGGCTCTTTGCTCAGCAGGGAGCCTGCTTCCTCCTCTCTCTCTGCCTGCCTCTCTGCCCACTTGTCATCTCTGTCTGTCAAATAAATAAAATCTTTAAAAAAAAAATATTATGACCTAGGTCAACTTTGTCTTTACTCTTCTAATTACCTTTACTTCTCTTCCTGCATACTCACAGTGCTTTCTTATTTTTCTTGTTCTCAACACAAATGCTAAATGGTGATGATAGATGATGGTGTAAATTGGGGTCCTTAACCTGAAGTCAGTGGGTCAGTGAACCCAAGAAAATCATATGCAACATTTGTGTATATTTGCCCATGTGTTCTGTTCTGGAGGGATGTTTTTTCCATAGATTGCTTCAACTTTTCAGGGGTGCCTGTGAGCCCCAAGTGGTTAAAGGCACTCGTTAAATAGTTACTTCCTACTAGGGCCTTTGCTATTCTGTCTGACTGTTGGTATAGTATCTTTCTTTTTAGTAATCTTTTTGTGTGTTTGTTCTGGATTAAAATATTACAAGAAATAAAATTAAATCTATTTATAGTATTAGTCAACACCCAGAGATAACCATTGTTTACATACTGGTAAATGGTTATCTACCTACCTATCATCTGTCTACCTATTTATCAATCATGTATCTGTTTATCCATCTACACACACACACACACACACACACATTTTTTAAAGGAATCATTCTATATGAACTCTTTATACTTTTCTAAGTGTAGATTGATAACACTTTTCTTTAATTGTTGCATTGTAGCTCATTATATAGATATACTGTAATTATCCCATCTCCTATTCATGGACATAGATGTTTATATTTTAATAGGAATCAAACCTTAGGCAAGGTTTGAACAAGGGAGATCTTGGAGCTTTTGCTGGTTGCAAGAGCCCTCTTTGTCTTATCCTTGCTAGCCCCACATCAAAGACGAGGCTCTGGATTTTGGGCCAGAGAACATGTTTGTTTTTTCCAAAAAAATGAGAAGCGTACTCTTACATGCCTCTCTCTAGCCCCCAAGATAGTGACATGAATTGGCAAGTCATCTCAAATCAGTAAAGCATATAACAGTCTTATAGGATCAATCACCTTCAGAGCAGCTTCTTTTAAATCTGTTCTCAATTTTCAAGATTCAAATGGGCCTAATTTTGTATAGTTTACTTACATTTTTAAAAGTGTTTATGAAAATTATTATGGAAAAAAAAAAAAAACAAACCAAAACCCCGAATACTTTCTTAAAATGCTTGAATCGTGTAACCTTGGAGACTTGACCAAAATATAAATATGTATGATTTCCCTGGGTCTCTGTGTCTGTGTCTATATTTTCATATGATATATTGCTGAAAGAGGTGTTGCTGATTGTCTTTTTTTCCTTTTCTCTCTTATCTGTTTACCACTGACACTACCAGATTAGAGGCTGCCCTAGTCAACACCCTTGGGTCCTGGGGTAGTAACTGTTCCCATCTGGCTGTGTGTGATTAATGGTGTTTATGTCATGGCATAAATCACGTCTTGCTGTTCAATCAGCTGAGACTCTGGTCATTAAAAAAAATTATCTATAAAAATCAATAACCTGTGGTTTTTGGAATGGAGCAGTTCTTTAACAGTTATTCCCTAAGTCTGTCTGTAAAAATAAACAATCAAATTACTATAGTCACTGAAATTGTGCAGGCAACAAGAAATATAATCTCGCAGATAAAGGATGACCTTAAGTAAGGACAGGTTGGAAGCCATTTTAAGGAAGACAAGGCAACCAAAGAAACCCAATACCCTTTTGAAAGTCTTCAAGAATGTCCCCCTTTTTCATGGATCCAGCTGACAACACCCCCTCAGAGATCTCAAGATGAATTTTCTGAAAAGCGTGGAAAATAAATTAGGTTGATAATAGCATTCTGTGACTGACTTAATACCACTCACAACTCTCTGTGGACTCTAGCTACAATACAGAAAAATCAATTTTATTTATTTACCTAATGTTTATGAGGAGAACACACAAAATCTGAATAAATAAATTAGCCAAGGTGATGAAATGGCAGGTAAAATAAAATGGAAGACCACTTTTTCGGTAAAGAACAGAGCTAAAGATAACCCTTAGACACTTTACTTTGTGGGAGATATTATGTGTACTGTTAAAATGGTGGTGTTGACCGTGTGTAACAACATGCCTGAATAAAGCGAGGCAAGATTAATAGTCCTGATTCACTTATAGTTTGTTTCACAGGCTGTGGGTGAGTGCTTTGGGATGTTGCTCACACAGCCTGTTTTGCTGCAGTAGCCACCGCTTTTGTGAGCAGCCCAGTGTTTTTGCTCAAATTGGAGTATGCCTCACTGATTCCTGTCTGCAACTTGCTTCTGAGGAATTGGTGACTGCAAGATACGTTTCAGGAATTCAAGTTCTACCAGTTTTGCCATCTTTACGATGTGCCTCACTTAGCCAAGTGGAATTCTAAATGGGAAAGTGAAGACTTCCCTTTGATACTTTATAACTCTGTTTCCAGAGCCGATCACATCCTGATTTCCACAGTAAGCTGGTGGCTCTCTACAGGATCACAAACTCAACTCCATCAAGAAGGCAGGACTGATCCCTCGTGCCCTTTCCCTGAATGGAAGATAGAATCCTTTTAGCAAGATATGATCCCGCAGATTTGTTCCTACTTGATGAAGGGAGGACTAACCTTCAGGCAAAGTGCTTTGGTGGAAACATCCTGTTTCTCCCTTCCCTGTGGGATGACCAGGAGCTGAGAAGGGCTCTGTTTCCTGTCACTGTGCTGCCATCATCCCCATTTACATTATTGGCAGCTGTTACTTTGTTAGAAGTTTAAATTATCTGAAGAACTCTCAACTGAGTTCAGATGTTTGTTTATTGGCGCTGTCCTAGGCTTCTGAAAACAGTCTTTTGTGTTCTCCCAGCCTTAAGAAAAGCTCTTCTCAGAATATGTCCTTCCTCCCTCCTTGCTCTTTTCTGGGAACCTGCTTCAATCTCATGAAGCAAATTAAATAAAGAGGACAAGGGGCTTAAAGCTCGTCAGAAAGGAGACTCCAGCGGTGAGGCGACCCGAAACGGAAAGGAATTGGGACTCAACATCCTGCATTTGTGCTTTGTTTTTGAAACTTCGAGTTGGTTGCCTTAATGAATTAACCAGCAGCCTAATGGAAAATGTTTCTCCTGTCCTGGTGGGGGAGCCAAATACTATAGATTTGTAACAGGAAGGCTGTTGATTCTGGCTTCATTGTTGGGCCAGTCATTTGTGAGCTGGTGGCCGGACCGCAGGCCACACACTTCTGTGCACATCTTCCATGTATTGGGACTGCCTGGGTTTTGTTTCTGCTGTCGGAGGCTCCGCGGAGAAAAGATGGTGAGCCCTGGGTTTCATTTCTTGTTTGTGTATCCCTTCAGCATTGAGGATGGTACAGGATGCCAGACTCCGTTCGGGGGCAGGGAGGGGGCTGTTGAAATCGATGAGCATATGTGAGTGTTATGCTGTTAATGCTTTTTTTTTCCTGTGTCATCCTCTGTAGAGTTCCGGGAACGCGTCCTATCGCTGCTCTATGTCTTCCTCTGCGGATTTTTCTGATGAGGATGATTTCAGCCAGAAATCTGGCTCCGCATCTCCAGCTCCGGGAGACACCTTACCCTGGAATTTGCCTAAACATGAGAGATCAAAAAGAAAGATTCATGGGGGCTCAGTGCTGGACCCCGCTGAGAGGGCAGTGCTTAGGATAGCAGGTAAGCGCTTCGGGGAGGGGACGGACCCCTGACTGGAGTTGCAGAAATTCACCCATCTGTGCCCCCGGGAGCCAGAGCTGGGAGCTGATGCACTGGGCAGAGGTCTGTGCTCAAGGTGGGGGGAGGAGGATGACCATGTTTACTTTATGCTTGATTTCCATCGAGAAGGCGGTTTCCCCAGCCTGCTGGTGACTAAGCTGTTTGGCCCTGTCTTCTGGTTGGACGGATTGATACCTTCGAATTGCAAGGGGGATATTTACAGACATCTGCATTAAACTTTCCCTATTTACATGCCCTAGCTGCTGTGACATTCTGAAAGTATTAACTTCTGTGATTCCTAGTGTATTTGCTAGAATCTGTGAGAAAGCTCCCTTCATTTCCATTTTTTGCCCAGGGACACTGAGCTTCGCAGGTTTAACTGGGGTGGATTCCTGGTGTTTGGTATCCGGGATTGCAGAGGGAATTCCAGCAACTTGGATGCCATTTTTTTTTTTTTTTTTTTTTTTTTTAAATTGTAGCATCTTTGTCAGAGTCATGTGTCCATAGCAGCTTTCCGTCCTTGGTGCTTTTGAAGGTTTAGCCATCATACATTCCTGATTAATTAATATAGGGGAGGTGCCAATGTTTCTGTTCTGTTACCGGTGTTCCCTTGCACTGGGTGTAGAAATCGAACCAGAAGGGATGACTTGTTTTACCCAGCTGAAAGCTGAGAACACTGAAGAAACCAATCCTCCAACCTCACAGTGCCTGTGTGGTTTCTTCATATGTGTTCTGTGCACGAGACTTGCTTTCTGGGGTGATTGGTCCACAGTTCCCTCCACAATTTTCTCTTTCAGAATGGTAATGGGTAGGATGGACTAAGGCTTTTGCGGGGGGTGCTTTTGCAAAGGCCAAAGGTGAGGTTTTGTCCCCAGCTGATTCCTGCAGCCAGTGGATCTGGCCTCCTTTCTTCTCCACTCTCGGACATTCACTCTGGGGTGGTGGGTGTGTGCCCACTCAGTTTCTTTTGCCTCCCACTGTAATGTAAAGTTGGTACATTATATTCCTCTGAGGGGCTGGTGAGGACTAGTCCAGAGCCCAGGCACCACAGCAGCAGAGACTCCCCCTACAGTCCCCCTAGAAGGATTTTCTGATTACAGGAAAAACAAACAGCGTGCAGACAGCCATTCTCTAGTCTGGGTTTCTGGGGCAACAGCCTTGAGCTTCTTCTGGCTGCTGTTTGTGAGATGCTGCCTGTTCTCTTCCAGGCCTTGAGGGGAGGGGTGGGGCAGTGAAAGGGTGGAAGGAGGGAGGGTCCTGGAGGGAGACTGTTTGGGAGCCAGTGAGACCAAGCAGGGGTGGTTTGGGGGAGCTGGAGCAGACCTAGCTCTCACCGCCCTCCTCAAGTATTAAAAAGTGTTTAGTCACTGAGGCCTGACTCCTTGCCTGGTGGAGATACTGCTTCATTCCCCACCCTGCCCCTCCATGAGCAGGTGTGAGGCATGGAGAGGGGGAGCCAGTATCTGCACAGTATCTTTGGCTCAGCGGAAAGGAAAGACAAGTGAAAGGAGGGTGCTGAGAGAATTTGGAGCTCTAGCCCATCAGAACAGGATGCCTGTGTTCCGTCCATTTTGTGGAAGGAAGAAGGTGCTTCTGGCTTGAGGTTTTTGTTGATGGTGACAGAAGTGGATAATTTGCTTTTTGATAGTGCAGGAAGGGGTTATGAGAGAAGGATTGGTCAGGTATTTGTGAGGGGGAATGAGATTATTTCAATTGAGGAAAATGACTAGGCCAGAAGTCCAGAGAAGTTGGGGGGACTAATCATCTGTGTACACTGTAGTTGGGGAAGAAATGGAAGAACTGGGGGTTCTGATGGGGTGCAGTGGACAAGAAGATATTGGTAGATGGTAAACTCACTGAGGGCAGGGGCCATGGTTTATTTGTTCTAAAATGTTCGCTGAGTGGGGATAGCTATAAAGTTAGTGGTTGTTAGTGAACTTGAGACCTCAAAGTCACATACTTTAAAGAGATTAATCAAAAACAAAACAAAACTACAAACAGAATAAGCAGCCCTAGTATGGAAATGTGCTACTGTTTTTAAAATAAATATTGGTAAGTTGGCTTTTTTCTACACAAATCATAATAATCATCTCTTGGGAGCAAAGACTTGGAGGCCAATCTTACGATATCTGTTTAAAAATAATGTAGCTAGAATATGAAATTCAAATACGTTATTTGTTCACCACTGATCACCCAGTGGAAGATAAAGCAACAGGGCATCTGAGCGATTTCGATGCTGCGGGTAGTTTGAAAATATACTATGAAAAGATTTCAACTTTTAACTTTATTAGACATTTTCACACTCTGCCTGAAACTCACCCATCTTTGAAATTCATCCCTAGTAAGAGATGGGGTAAGGTTCAGAAGTGGTATGAGGATGTCCATTGTGTTAATTACTTAGTAATAAAGGAGTTGAAAGTCCAATATTTTTATTTGTTTTTAAGGTCATAAAAATAAAATTGAACATGAAAATGCCTAGAGTCAAAAAGACCTTATGAAGGTGTGTGGGATAACTAAATTCATTTACATTTAATAAATATTGATCGAATCCCTGGAATAAAATGAAGAAAAGCACATAGTTCTGCTTTTAAAGAAGTTATAGTCCAATATAACTGGATATGTTGTTAGACTGTTACAACATGGTGTGAGAGATTAGTTGTTATGCCTATATAAGTACCTAATATGAAAAGAATCCAGAGGAGAGTCTAATTAACATGGACAGAGAATGGAGCCTGAAAGCTTCTGAGGGGAGGTGCCACTTGAAGTGAGAATTAAAGAGCTTGATGGGAATAGGGGGAAAGGGAAGGCCACTTCAGAGGGATGGAACCATAAGAACAAAGGTAGGGAGATGTGTTTATATGGAAATTTCAAGTGCAATGCATAGTAGAACATGGGATTTGGTAGAGAATAGCAGAATGGAAATGTGCCTATGTGTAATACTGAGGAGATTGGACCATTCATGCTGTAAGTAGTGAGGAATTATTGAAAGATTTTTCGGCAATGCAGTGATATAATCAGGTTTACATTTTAGAGAGTCTTATGTCACATGTCTGACACTTGACTATTTTAAAAGTGCTTTTGCACTTACTGTAGTGTTCTCACTTTAAAGTCGGAGACTGTACGCCTTTCCTATGTCTCAGGGTCAATGTGAGAAAAAGATGACGAAGTGTAAGGAATGGGGCTTTATGATATCCATTGTATAAATGACTTTTATATAAGAACTATAGATCTGCTGTTCTTAGTTACTGGATATGGTAGGCTGAGTTTTTTATTCTTGAAGTGCCCGTAAAGATACACGGTTTGTTGGGAACAGTGCTATTTTAAAATATGGATTTTTGTCCCATGTAAATTCTTTAAAGTTGGAATTGAAGGGTCTAAGCAGAGTCAGACTTTGGACTCAGGCAAACTTGGATTTTAATTCTCCCTCTATCACAAGCTAGTTGTATTTTCTTTGGCAACTTACTGAATTTTTCTCAGCTTCATTTTCTCTATTAAAGGGTCATAGCTGTGGCAAGTAAATAAAGTAGTGAGTGCAAAACATTTTGCAAATTCTTTGGTATATGGTAAATGCTGTATAAATGATAGTTTGCAAATGGTCAGATGCTCTTATTTTTTAGAAAGATTTATTTATTTGAGAAAGAGAGAGAGAGAGAGAGATCATGAGCAGGGGGAAAGGCAGAGGGAGAGAGAGGATTTCAACCAGATTTTGTGCTAAGCACGGAGCCCAACATGGGGCTTGATCTCACGACCCTGAGATCATGACCCAAGCTGAAACCAAGGGTCGAATCCTTAACCGACTGAGTCGCCAGGCGCTCCACGGTCAGATGTTCTTATAAGCATTTACTGTGTTATCTCATTTAGTCTCTGAACAACCTTATGAAGTAGGCATAATTATTTTCTCCATTTTTTAGTCCAGAAATCTGCTGATAGAGAGAGAGACTCTTCCCAAGGTCATACAACTAGCAAGTGGTGGATCTTGATCTGAATTCAGGCATTCTTAGCTCCAGAGGGTAGCCTCTTAACTGCTTCTGCTTCCCTATGGAATAGACTATTATTATTAGCAGGTTGACCCAATATTACCATTCCAAGAATGCATGGGGCAAAGGCTATCTTTATAGAAAACCCCAATGCTGCTGCTGTTCATTTTGACTGTCTCCTTAAAAGGAGAGTTAAAATCAATTAAGAGTGCATTGATTATATTCACAAAACTGGATGCTGCTGGGTTTCAGTCTCTGATGGAGGCTCAGACTGTGCCCTCAATGACCCTAGTCATTGTAAAGGAGACAAAAGAATTTTGAGAGAGATTCATGTACGTGTGTGGTCTATAAATGGAATGACTTTTAGGGATCTAATTGTTAACTCTTTCATTTCAAGAAGGTGTCACAGATGATGCATGGTTGTTACTTCATGAACCAATGTGTACATAAATGCATACCAAGTTGCGAGAAAACCATTGATCCTAGGAGCTTGGTGGGACACGGACTCAAACTCAGATTATAAACCAGTGGTCAGGACAGCAAAGAGAGATTCGGTTTTGCTTTGGGATAACAAAAGTAGACCAGTTGCTCAGGAGAAGTAAAGATTTCCAGTTCTAATTCAATTAAGATTTTTTCCAGGAGTGTAGAGTTTTTAGGAGTACTCATCCCCATCTAAGAGTTAATGAAAAATGGTTCAGATTCACAACATTGAAAGGGGAAAAAAAACTCATCAAGGACAAAAGGTCAGTACATATGAAAGGAAGAAATAGGGAGGGAAGATGTGGGCAAAAGGTGAAGCTGTCAAGTCAGATGATCAACAACGCATTGATTTATCTATTATTATAGCTAACATGTATAAAGCCACAAACTTATAAGGTAGGCACTATTAACCCCATTTTACTGATGAAGAGAGGCCAGAGAGGGTAAGTAACTTGGCCATGTCACACAGTTAGTAAGGAGGCAGGATGCTGACTTCAGTTAAGT